CCATAGAAGCGTTTTAATGAAATTTGAAAACATTATCCTTACGTATAATATTATTCGAGCGTAACGTGGAATTAAATTTATAATTCTATTACTTTGTGAATTGTTAATTTGTTCAGATTTGTTGGGAAAACCATTGAGAAGTTTTGTTTCTAATCACACATTTTACTTTGGTTCTAATCGTGCGGAACTAAACTTTTAATAGATTTATAGCTGTAGTTGAATTTAGATGTTAAATGCTCGGAATTCTAGGAGGTACTTCTCGCTGAGAATTTGTTTAAAGAAATGAAAATAACTATCGAGGATAATTAATTTTCACTAGAAAGATATTTAGTAACGCGATTAAACTCGATAGTTTGCGATTTGCAAGTTATTTCCGTTTTCATGAAGAATAATTATATAATCTATTAAATGTTTAAGTTTTTTATATTTATTTAAAAAATTAAATTTTCATAATATATCAAGACTGCATTAAATATTTAAGCGAATCTGTATGTGTGAAATATTTCATTGTCTGACTAAATATCGAGTTATTTCACTTGGACTCAGCAGTTCGTCTAACCATAGGTACTCCCTATTTACATGATTCCTATAAAAGTCAGTGACGTGGAATTGCATCAGATCGGAGATGTAAAATATTAATAAAAAATAAAAATACATAAATAAAATTGTAAGTAAATACTAAGAAGTGTCGAAAGCGTGTATTATTTGCGTTAAAAATGAAAGCAAGCGTGCGGCAATGTTATTATTTTGAAATGTGAAAATTGTTGCTCGTCAATACTGTACTGTCTACACCGACTGCAGCTGAAGCAACGAACGCGAAGAATAACGAGGAAAAACGGAAAACAAAATCATCGGTAGCTGTTGAACCATCGTTTCACGGATTGTATCGCTGCGAATAGGATTTCAAACTTTGAACGAATAAACAAACCTTCAACCTGTCTCCATACCTCCAGAAATTTCAATGGAAATTCAATTCGAGAAACGAATCATTTCGCGACAATGTGGCGATAATTCCATGACACGTATTCTCGATAAAAGGATTCACTGGGTAAATGGATTCACAAATATTTATTAATAACCCTTTCAAAAAATTTATAAATATTACCGAGTAGTTCGTGCTTCGATTTTCCTGAAATAATTCCAGATGAAATGAATTGGTTCGACACAGAAGAATTATTTCTATAAAAGTACTCGTGGAACAAGCTCGAAGGAAAACAAATTATTTAACTCTCCTCGTTTCAGAGAATTTATCTCAAGTGCATCTAGAACATAACGTTCGAAAACAATTATTAATGCCTGTTACAAAAAATGTATACAAATTATCGAATACTATGTGCATCGATGGTTCCAAGATAATTATGAACAAGATGGATTAATTTAATACCCGTGAAGCAAGCTCAAAAGAAAATGAATTATTTCATTTTTCCCTTCTCAGAGAATTTATCCCGAGTGTAACTACCACATAAATTTCCTTTAATCCTTCGTTGTATCAAATTCCCTACCGACAGCTTTTGAGATTAATTCCACCTCTGCATAAAGGTAATTTAAGGCGTTCCAAAGTATCGCAGCTTCAAAAATATTTTATGCAAACGAATCCTTTGGAAAAGAACCCGTAGCATGCAACTAATAGCCCCCACCGAATCGCTAATGACTGACTCGAGCGATTCACGCGACTACAAACAAGTAATGAAAAAGGAACGAGTAAAAAATGGAGACATCATTTGACGAAAAATGCTACCAAGATTTCCGTCGTCGAGTAGGAAAAAAAAATAATGCGAGAGCTTTTGTCCTGCGAGTACGCGAGCAGCACGAATGGTCAAAAGGAAAAGGCGCGCGCGTGGCTCTTTAAATATTACGGCCTAATTGACTGGCCGCTGTAAAGCTAACGGGGAAAAGAGTCTCGGTCTCTCTGAAAGCGAGACTTCTTGAACGTGAATTCAACAAGTTAACAGTTTCACTTTGGAAGACAAGCCTTTAAAGGCGGCTGCACCGTGCGAGATTCGCGAGGGATCTAGATTAAAGGAACAAGGGTTTCGCCGTCAAGGCTGCGCCGATACCGGGTCCCTCCCGCTCGTTTCCTCGCGAAGAGTGTTCCACGTAGGAAATTCCCTTGATCTTTCCTCGACTCTGCTTGGACGATAAGAAACACTTTGACCGGCGTAATACTGTACAACGTTCGAGCCCTATAGTAAAATGCACAGTGGGTGAGCAAATTATTAATTACACACGATAGACGTACATTCTCGGTAATTTTGGAACCATCTTACGCATTCAAACAGCGAATAGGTGCACTACTATTTATATTTTTAAATTTAATAAAAATCATTTATTAAAAAGATTTTCATATGTAAAGGACTTATTCGCTTATTAGCCAATACTAAAAACAGCTCAAATCTTTTCATAGGGACACAAAACGAACGTGCGGATTTTAAAAATATTCAAAATTTGCACATCATTCAGCTACCCTGTTAATAAGTGCTTCAATTTTCTCAACAATTCCCTAACACATTTCCACGAAAGGCACGGTACAATTTACATTTTTAATATAATCATATCGCGAACGCTGGGAACCCCGTCGGGGCTAATCGGCGCGAATGAAAGCGTAATCGAGGCCGGAAAATATTAACCGTTCGCGTGCGCACGGATTCAGCGAGAGACGGAATAAATTTCACGTTTCGCGAGATAAAAAGACGCGCGAACGGGGAAAACGCGATGCCACGCGGGAGTCGAGATCATCGAGGGGGTTTCCACTCCATTATTCGCTCCCGGGTAGCCCGTCTTTGTATTCGTACGATGTATCAGCGCGTGCACGTATCGCGGGCGAAATTTATGCGCTTATTTTCACTTGTATAAGGCAAAGGGAGGGGGGGTGAGCGCGCGGACGTCCATTTATTATTAGCTTAAGTGGACTTAGCGAATCTGTACCCGGCGACAAGATAGCTCCGAGGCACGATCCTCTAGCGCGAAACAGAGCTAAAACCGGGCAATTAACCGCATACACTGTAAATAAGACAATCTCACTGATTCGAAAACCGTTAACAAGACGAATTTAATCGCGTCGAACGACGATCGAACGAAGCTAACAGAATGGGAACACTCGAATGGGAACGCATAAATATCCTTCGTGCTTCTCGAGGGCGAGCGTAAAACGCGGGAAGAGTACGCCCGTCCAATTCCAAGGTTTTTTCCAGGTTTGATGACCGTCCATTTATTTCGCGCCCTTGTTCCGCGAGAATACGAATTCTTGTCCGTGGTAGCTATCTCTAGGTGAGGCAAACTATTTCCATCTTGCTCGATAGGGATTCGTTGGGGAACTTAAATTATTCAGGGAACGCGTTTGGACAAACCTTGTGTAGGACCTAGAAATCACTCGACAGGGAACCTATTTGGAATTTGTTATTCTTATGGGTGTTTAGAGTTTTTATAACTCTATAGAACTCCTGGTTTTAATTATATTAAGAACATGAATTTATCAGAACTAATTTATCCAGCATGAAGTTATCATTGATAATGAATATAATAATATTTATAATACATTGATAACGAATTCAT